ACAGTGGTGACCGAGGATTTTAGCCATTTGCCCCCAGAGCAGCAGCGAAAGCGGCTTCAACAGCAGTTAGAAGAACGCAGTCGTGAACTTCAGAAGGAGGTTGACCAGAGGTAAGGTGGTGGGGTGGGGAAGGGCAGGCAAGGAACATGATAAAATAGTAGATGATTTCCATTTATTTATTTATTTTTAAATTTTATTCTATTTTATTTTTATTTTGTGACAGAGTCTTACCCTGTTGCCCAGGCTGGAGTGCAATGCCATGATTTCAGCACACTGCAGTCTCCACATCCCAGGTTCAAGCAATTCCTGTGCCTCAGCCTGCTGATTAGCTAGGACCACAGGCATGCACCACCACACCCAGATAATTTTTATATTTTGAGTAGAGGCGGGGGTTTCCCCATATTGGCCAAGCTGGTCTTGAACTCCTGGCCTCAGTTGATCTGCCTGCCTTGGCCTCCCATGGTGCTGGGATTATAAGCACGAGCCACTGCCCTGGTCTGTAAATGAATGACATTTAAGTGGTACTCAAAGATCTCCCCAACAATCCCAAGGCCCCGACAGTTTTACAGGTGATTCCTACCACACTTATGAGAAACAGTTACTTCTTGGCCAGGTGCAGTGGCTCACGCCTGCAATCCCAGCATTTTGGGAGGTTGAGTCAGGAGGATCACCTGAGCCTAGGAGTTTGAGACCTGCGTGGGTAACAGAGTGAGACCCCATTTCTAGCAAAAATAAAAAAATTAGCTGGGTGTGGTGGTTTGTGTCTATAGTCCCAGCCACTTGGGAGGCTGAGGTGGGAGGATGGCTTAAGCCTGGGAAATTGAGACTGCAGTGAGCTGTGATTGCACCACTTGCACCTCAGCCTGGGTGTCAGAGTGAGACCCTGTCTCAAAAAGAAAAAAAAAACAGTTACTTCTTGTCTTGTACAAGTCATTCCAGCAAACAGAAAAAGAGTGAAAGCTGTCAGCCTCTTTGGGCTGACGAATCCTGATTCCCAAATCAATGGCCAAGAATTCAAGAAGATAAAATCGAGGGCTCGTTTTACCTTATTTATGATAATAGATGCAAAATCCTAGCCAAGCAAATCCAGTGTTTAAAAAATAATACATCACTTTGGGAGGCCAAGGCGGGTAGATCACTTGAGGTCAGGAGTTTGAGACCAGCCTGACGAACATGGTAAAACCCCCCCATCTCTACTAAAAATACAAAAACTAGATCGAGACCATCCTGGCTAACACGGTGAAACCCTGTCTCTACTAAAATTACAAAAATTAGCCAGGTGTGGTGGCGAACACTTGTAGTCCCAGCTACTCAGGAGGCTGAGGCAGGAGAATGGCATGAACCCAGGAGGTGGAGCTTGCAGTGAGCCGAGATTGCGCCACTGTGCTCCATCCTGGGTGACAGAGCGAGACTCCGTCTCCAAAAAACAAACAAAAAAAATACAAAAACTATCGGGGCATTGTGGCACACGCCTGTAATTCCAGCTACTTGGGAGGCTGAAGTGGAGAATTTCTGGAACCTGGGAGGTGGAGGTTACAGTGGGTTAAGATTGCGCCACTGCACTCCAGCCTGGGCGATGCAGCAAGTCTCCACCTCAAATAATAATAGTAATAATACATTAGCCGAGCATGGTGGCTCATGCCTATAAGCCCAGCACTTTGAGAGGCTTGGTAGAAGGATCGCTTGAGCTTAGGAGTTCAAGGCCAGCCTGGGCAACACAGTAAAACCCCATCTCTTAAAAAAAAGAAGAAGAAAAACCCAAATAAATTTTTTTAAAAACTAAAAAAAAAAAAAAAAAAAAGAAAAGAAAAAAGCCACCATTCATTGGGTTTTATCCCAATAATGCAAAGATGGTTCAATATCAAAAAATGTATCCATCTAGCTCACCACATTAATTGGCTAAAAGAAAAAAACAGCATATGGTTATCTAACAGCTCAAACACTTAAAATATTAACAATAAAAAAATCTGCCAGATTAAAAAACAAATCTTTACTCACTCTTTCCAAGCAACAAAATCCTCTTCCCAGTCCTGTTACATAATAGGAATGACGTTTGCCACTTGCAAACAGGCAGCCAAATTATATTTTGCCATTTGCATGTAACCTCTTGGACAGAATGGCTTTTATTGGTGTAAAGTTCCATTCAGAACTCTCTAGTTCCTGGGTTTCTATGGTTCACATGAGATAGTTGGATCATTATCTCCACTTCCAAGATAAGCAAACAGCAGCAGGGGTTCAATGATTTAAGCCAAGCTCACACAACTAGAAAATACTCAAACTGAGATTCGAACCCAGGCAGTCGGGCACTAGTATTTGCATCCTTAACCATTGTCCTGCCTTGCTATTTGCTCCTTGATGCAAAACCCCTGTATTTTGCTTGTTAAATCACATGGAGCCTAGTGACTCATGCCTCTAATCCCAGCACTTTGGGAGGCTGAGGCAGGAGGATCCCTTGAACTCAGAAGTTTGAGACCAGCCTGGGCAACATAGCCAGACCCCATCTCTACTAAAAATTTTTGAAAAAAGATCAGGCGCATGTGGTGATGTGGGCCTGTAGTCCCAGTTACTCAGGAGACTGAGGCAGGAGTATCACTTGAGCCCGGGAGGTCAAGGTTGCAGTGAGCCATGATTGCACCACTGCACACCAGCCTGGGGAAGGAGTCAGAGCAAGACCCCGACTCAAACAAAACAAAACAGCAACAAAAAAGCTCACACGGAACTATGTTTCCTGTCTGCCTCTTTCCCTTGTCATAGGGAAGCCCTAAAGAAAATGAAGGATGTCTATGAGAAGACACCCCAGATGGGAGACCCCGCCAGCTTGGAGCCCCAGATCGCTGAAACCCTGAGCAACATCGAACGGCTGAAATTGGACGTGCAGAAGTATGAGGTCAGAAAAGACGCTGGGGAGGGGCGGGAGCCAGTGTGCCTGGCTGAGTCACTGCCCGGTGGGGGTGGGGTCGGGGGGTTGGGGAGAGGGGAGGTGTTCGAAGCTGGGGGTCTCCAACTGTTTTCCATCACAGCCTTGGCTGTGCGTGGGTGATGTCAGGGAACCTCTGAGTCCAGAGTGGGCTGACCCCAGAGCTCTGCCCTGGAACGATTTTTGCCATCCCCTCCTCCCAGGCGTGGCTGGCAGAAGCTGAAAGTCGAGTCCTTAGCAACCGAGGAGACAGCCTGAGCCGGCACGCCCGGCCTCCCGACCCCCCTGCTAGCGCCCCACCAGACAGCAGCAGCAACAGCGGATCACAGGACACCAAGGAGAGGTGAGGGGTGACGCCAGAGTGAGTCTGTTCCCAGGGTCCCAGGGGGGCGTGTCTTTATCTGCCGAATTCTCTCCAAACAGCTCTGAAGAGCCTCCCTCAGAAGAAAGCCAGGACACCCCCATTTACACGGAGTTTGATGAGGATTTCGAGGAGGAACCCACATCGCCCATAGGTCACTGTGTGGCCATCTACCACTTTGAAGGTGAGAATGGCCAGAGTGGGCTTGGCGGGGGATGGGCGGCAGCGTCTCTGGCTAGGTTCAGTTTAAATTCGCCTAAAGCAGGACTGGGCGGGTGGCTCAGGCTTGTAATCCCAGCACTTTGGGAGGCTGAGGCAGGCAGATCACTTGAGGTCAAGCATTCCAGACCAGCCTGGCGGACATGTTGAAACCCCATCTCTACTAAAAATACAAAAATTAGCCAGGTGCGGTGGCACACGCTCGTGATCCCAACTACTCGGGAGGCTGAGGCAGGAGAATCCCTTGAACCCAGGAGGCGGAGGTTGCAGGGAGCTGAGATCGCGCCACTGCACTCCAGCCTGGGCGACAGAACGAGACTCAGTCTCAAAAATAAAAAATAAAAATAATACATTCGCCTAAAGCACATCTGGGCCCACCCCCACCCCCATCACAGGGTCCAGCGAGGGCACCATCTCTATGGCCGAGGGTGAAGACCTCAGTCTTATGGAAGAAGACAAAGGGGACGGATGGACCCGGGTCAGGCGGAAAGAGGGAGGCGAGGGCTACGTGCCCACCTCCTACCTGCGAGTCACACTCAATTGAACCCTGCCAGAGGCGGGAAGAGGGGGGCTGTCGGCTGCTGCTTCTGGGCCACGGGGGGCCCCAGGACCTATGCACTTTATTTCTGACCCCGTGGCTTCGGCTGAGACCTGTGTAACCTGCTGCCCCCTCCATCCCCAACCCAATCCCACCTGTCACTCCGGACGGACCCGCTGTGCCTTCTACCATCGTTCCACCATTGATGTATATACTCATGTTTTACATCTTTTCTTCCTGCCGCTCGGCTCCGGCCATTTTGTTTTATACAAAAATGGAAAAAAAAAAAAAAAAAAAAAGAAATTACATAAAGTTCCTGGAGTCGGTGCCTTATTAGAGGATTTAGATACTGAGACTGGAAGGATCTAACACCACGTTTCTTACAGGCCACACAGGGAACGAGGAAGGGAAGGTGATCTTGGGCACACCTTGGGTCAACCCTGCCCCTTTCTGGAAGTTGGCCTATATCATTGTCAGTGGGTGTCTGCTTGTGACTCAGGTAGGGAGAAGGATACCAAGTTTCCTTTTCTTTTTCTTTTTTCTTTTTGAGACAGCCTTACACCGTTGCTCAGGCTGGAGTGCAGTGGCGTAATCTCAGCTCACTGCAGGCTCCACCTCCCGGGTTCAAGCAATTCTGCCTCAGCCTCCCAAGTAGCTGGGATTACAGATGCACACCATCGCCCAGCTAATTTTTTGTATTTTCTGTAGAGGCAGGGTTTTGCCATGTTGGCCAGGCTGGTCTCGAACTCCTGACCTCAAGTGATCCATCCACCTGGGCCTTCCAAAGGGCTGGGATTATGGGTGTGAGCTACCGCGCCCGGCCAGGACACCAAGTTTCATCCCTTCTGAATGCACTGCAGCTTCTGAGACTGGGTAGCACTTATTGAGGATCTACTGTGTGCCAGGCATTCGCCACCTGCGGTCTCATTCCCAGCCACCATTCTTAGAAAGTACACAGCCTCAACTTTTACATTTTGTAAAAGTTTTTTATTTTTCAGTTTTTGTAGAGATGAGGTCTCACCATGTTGCCCTGGCTGGTCTTGAACTCCTGGCCCCAAGCCTTCCTTCCGCCTGGGCCTCCCAAAGTGCTGAGATTACAGGCCTGAGCTGCTGCACAGCCATGATTTCGTTAAAGGCAGACACAGAGAGGTGAAGTGATCTGCTAGAAATCACAGCTTTTAAGAAGCGGAGTCACATTTGAACTCTGGCCTCTGATGCCAGATCTGCAGGTCACATGTTCACCATGACCCGGATGACCCTGACTGCCCTCCCCACCTCTGCTGTGAGGCACAGGGCAGGTGTCCGCCTGAGGACGTGAGGAGCCTGGGACGACTCCTTTGGTCTCTTCCGGGGTCTGCAAACACCTGGGGATCCCGGGTGTGAAGAAAGGGGTCTGCGCTCTCAGCTGTCAGGCTCCAGGCGCTGTGACAGGACGCCGAGGACGCGCTGGAACTTCTCAAAGCGTTCAGCGTGCGGAGCTCCCGCGCCCCGGCTACCCCAGAGCAGCCTCCGCAGGAAGCCGGTGGTCAGGGCCTCCCTCAGCTCTGGGTTAGGCCGGAATCCTGGAAACAAGGTCAGGTGGGCTGGGGGCGGGGCCAAGGCGCCCGCCTCGCCCCTCCCAACCTCCCGCACCTGCCTTTCCCCTGAGGACTTTGACCCAACAGCGGCCCGGGAGGGACTTGCCCCACCTGCGGGATGACTAGGCGGGGTCAGAGGGGAGGGGGCTTCCAGCCCTCTGCAGGAATGGGGGTGGGGTGCCTGAGGGGCTCTACTAGAGTGCAAGGGGGTGGCCTGTTCCAGGTGCCAGATCCTGGGGGTCCCGCCTTAGGGGCTGTGCCTGGACGTGGGGCTGCACCGGTGGCGGGATCCCAGGTTGTCGGGGAAGGTGGGGGATCTTGTCGGCTGGGCTGCCCTAGGATAGGAGGGAGGAATCGTTTGGAGGGAGCAGGGCGTTCCTCGAGATCGAGATCCCTGGGGTGCGGGATCGTTCTAGGTGGGAAGGGGGAGTGGGGACCCGCGGAGGTGGCTCTGGGGGCAGGACAGCCCGTTTTGAGGTGGACGGCCCTGTTCCTATCAATACCGCTGGAAGCAGCGTTTGCTTGGGGCGAGAACCTTCCTGGAGTGGAGACGTCCCAGTTTGGGTGGGGCTCCGGGAGGCGTGGCGAGAGGCTCCTTTCCTGGGACAGGTTGGGTTTGGGGGTTCGGCCAAAACTTGCCGGATCTGAAGTCTGCAGTACAGAGCAGAGGGAACGCTCACCTCGCAGGCGCTGGGCTGCCACCTTGCGGAATTTGGGTGCGTCCCGGGCCATGTGACGCGCCCCGTGCAGGGTGCGCAACAGCCGCTCGCAGCTCTCATCCAGCGGCCCCGCGACTTCCTGGCCCTCCAGCAGGCGCACCATGGGTGCCACGTGCGGCAGCGCCACCTCGCCGGGGTCGCAGGGTCCTGCGGAGGGGGAGGGTCTGATCTGGGTTTGGGGCTGTAGATAGGGCATGGGGCAGAGATGGAACCTAGGACACATGCAAGGGCGGGGCTTAGGATTGAGCGACAGCGGGGTCTGTGGACTGGGGCCAGGATCACAAGCCCCGTATGGGGGCGGGGTCTATGGCGAAGGGGCGGGGCCTAGGGAAAGGGGCTGGGATCAAGGCTGGTAAGGGGGCGTGACCTAGGAACAAGTCTCGTGTGGAGGGCAGGGCCTAGAACTGATGTAGGAACAGGGCATAGGACTAGATTAAGATTTCTGTTAAATTTGGTCTGGGCCCCCGGAGGATGCCAAGCCCCAGACCTTAACTCACCAGCGCCCTCATCCAGAGCCCGCATCAGCGGCTTCAGCTCCTGCTCAAAGGCCAGCGCAGCCTCCGTGTGGCTCCTACGGAGCTGGCGCCACGTGTGCTCCAACCGGGACACCTGGGAGAAGAGACCTGCGCATGCCTCCTCTCCTGTCTTCCCAGTCACCCGCACTCCAGCTTCCTCCACTCCCTGCTCCCCACGAACCTGGGGCATGAGCAGGGCGCCCATGACCGCAGCCAGCCCGGGCAGGTCCCCCGCTGCCCCTGGCCGCAGCGCCAGCGCCAGCTCTACCAGGCCCCTCAGTGCGGCTGCGCGCTCCTCCAGCGGCCCCGAGCAGCCCAGCACTGCCAGTGCCCCGGCCAGCGCCAGTGTCTCATGCCTGCAGAAGCGGAGGGCAAGGGTCTGGGGGCAGTGGGGAAGTTTGTAATGCAGGGGTGAGGGGGGACAGGATGTGGCATTGCCCCATCTCCCTTCTTCCCTGGGGAACCATGAGTGGGGAGCTGTTTGGAGACCTTGGGAAGTCGGGGGGAATTGGCCTCCCCCAGCCAAGATTCCAAGCGGCTGGCTCACCTCTCCAGCAGTTCCAACCTCAAGCGACGTCCATGGGGAAGAGTGAGCAGCTCCAGGCCAGATGAGACCCCCATGTTGTCCCGCTGAACCCTGGTCACTCCCAGGAGGCCTGTGGCCTGCGGAAGGGAATGGGTAAGTCAGGTGAAGTGTGATTATGTAGGTATGGTGGGGTCTTGCCCTGGGCCTGGGGAGGAGCATCTCAGCAGGTGACCCACCTGGCAGTCTACCAATAGCAAGTGAAGGGCAGTGCTCCCAGGATGGTGCTCCAGGAACAGGCCACGGAGAGTATGCAGCACTTGGGGTTCCAGGGGCCGATTCTGGGGGCCCAGGAGGCAGGAGGGGGTATCAGGGGGGCAGAAAGAGATCTCAGCCTGTGGTCTTGTAAAACATCTGTTCTCTTCCTCCTCATCCTCCTTGGCCTCCCACCATGGGGCCTCTGGCTCTGGGCAGCTTTGGCTCAGGGATGTTCCCTGGACACAGGGTACTCGGGGCACCAGCTCGCAGTACGTTGGGGGACGTGCAGAGGCATCAGGCAGTTCGAAGGAGGGTGTCCGGGGAGGCTTCGCTGGTGCCTTGGCTTGAAGCTGCCCATCGGAGGCTCTGAGACTGTTGGCAACAGTTCCCAGGGGAGCAGGGGCCTTCAGCAACACGGGGTCACTGCCCGTTCGGGGCAAGGCAGATACGGGCATGGCGAAGGCTTCTGGAGATCATACAAGAGGGGTCAATGGGAATACACAGAGAAGATTGCTGAATGGGCGGGGGTGAGAGCTTCATGGGCTACTACCCACCTGATCCACCCACTCATTCCAATAATGGGGTATCCCAACCTATCCAGGGGCAATTTTGAATTTCAACAACCTCAACAGTAGAAATGCTAACATGCTTACACATGGTTGGAAAACTTTGGCATCTCTATTGTTCTGTAATTCTTTTTTAAAAATTTTTATTTTATTTTATAGAGATGGGATCTCACTGTGTTGCCCAGACTGGTGGACTGGTGTGGAATTCCTAGTCTCAAGCAATCCTCCCTCCTTGGCCTCCCAAAGTGCTGGGATCACAGGCATGAGCCACCTTGCCTGACCCTATGAATTCTGAATACTACATTTTAAATTTGAATTCTTTGTTTTTGTCCCTCTGATTGAAAGATGATAAGCAGTGACCCCACAAAATTAAATTTTTTTTTTGTTTAAAAGGATGAGCGTGGTGGTTGATGCCTGTAATCTCAGCATTTTGGGAGGAGCCAAGGTGAGAGGATCGCCGAGGCTAGGGATTCCAGACCAGTCTGGGCAACGTAACAAGATCTTGTCTCTACAAAAAGTTAGAAAATTAGCTGGTATGATGGCATGCACCTGTGGTCCCAGCTACTTGGGAGGCTGAGGTGGGAGGATCACTTGAGCCAGAGGCTGCAGTGAGGTATGACTGCACCACTGCACTCCAGCTTGGATGACAGAGTGAGACTCTATCTCGAAAAAAAAAAAAAGATATCTATGTATCTATAATTAAGTATAGATATATCTCTCTATGTCATATCTATACAGATAGATATCTGTATATTATATAAATATATAATATATACTTAAGTATATCTTAAAATTAACATTAAATATATAATGTTGCCCTATATATTATATATAATTACATTTATATATGATAGATATTTTACTTTTCTCTTTTTTATGATAATATATATATATCTCCATAGATATGTCTATATAAATATATATAATTAATACAGATATCTATAGAGAGGCAGAAGGTATAAAAAATTCACAACCAAACCATGTATGGTATGACACTCAGATAAGTATCAAAGAAACCAAGCTTATTAAACCTTCTTTTTCTTTTTTTTCTTTTTTATTTCTTCTAAACAAACAAAAAAAGCAACAACCAAAAAAAAAACAGGATACACGTGCAGAATGTGCAGGTTGGTTACACGAGTATCCGTGTGCCATGGTGGTTTTTGCTGCACCTACTGGATCCCTCCTCTCAGTCCCCTCCCCTCACCCTAAACTTTCAAATGATGTCATTTGTAAGTGGGTGGCATGTTGACCTCCTGGACTGTTAGTACTTAAAACTGTACTAAGACTTTTGGGAGACTGTATTTACCATGCCTTTGAATAGGCTCTTTTCTAGGAACTTGAAACCATCCAACAGTGCCTGGCTTACTCTGAGTTAATTAAGGTCCAAAGTGCTCACTGTAGCTGAAAAATCCTCACAATCTGAGTCCCAGGGTCTCACTCTCTGACTCTCCCCTCATTCCCTCTGCTTCAGCTACACTCATCTGTCCCTCCTTCCCTCCCTCCCTTCCTTCCTTCCTTTCTTTTCTTTCTTGACGGAGTCTCACTCTGTCACCAGGCTGGAGTGCAGTGGCGCCATCTCAGCTTATTGCAACCTCTGCCTCCCAGGTTCAAGTGATTCTCCTGCTTCAGCCTCCCGAGTAGCTGGGACTACAGGCACCACCACACCCAGTTAATTTTTGTATTTTTAGTAGAGATGGGGTTTCACCATGTTGACCAGGATGGTCTTGATCTCGACCTCGTGATCCGCCTGCCTCGGCCTCCCAAAATGCTGGGATTACAGGCATCAGCCACCGCACCCGGCCTTTTCTTCTTTTTTTTTTTTTTAATTTGAGACAGGGTCTCACTTTCTGTGGCCCAGGCTGGAGTGCAATGGTGCGATCACGGCTCACTGCAGCCTTGACTTCCTGGGCTCAAGTATCCTCTTGCTTCAACCTTCCAAGTAGCTAGGACCACAGGGGTGCAACACTACGCCCAGCTACCCACTTGTGTTTTGGTTGAATGAACAGCTTAAATTTTTTTTTTTTTTTGGAAACGGAGTCTTGCTCTGTGGCCCAGGCTGGAGTGCAGTGGCCTGATCTCGACTCACTGCAAGCTCCGCCTCCCGGGTTCACACCATTCTCCTGCCCCAGCCTCCTGAGTAGCTGGGACTACAGGCGCCCGCCACCACGCCCGGCTAATTTTTTGAAGTTTTAGTAGAGACACGGTTTCACCGTGTTAGTCAGGAGGGTCTCGATCTTCTGACCTCGTGATCCGCCCGCCTGGGCCTCCCAAAGTGCTGGGATTACAGACGTGAGCCACTGCGCGCCCGGCCTAACAGCTTAAATTCTTGTTCTGCCCCAAGAGCCTTTGCACTGCCTCTTCCTCCTGCCTGGTTATCCCCCAGTTATCCACCTTGTTCCCTCCCTCATTTCCTTCAATTTTATTTTTTTCTACAATGGGGCCTTTCCTGTCTACTATTTAAAATTGCTTGCCTGGGTGCAATGGCTCACGCCTGTAATCCCAGCACTTTGGGAGTTCGAGGCGGGTGGATTGCCGGAGGTCAGGAGTTTGAGACCAGCCTGACCAACATGGTGAAACCCCATCTCTACTAAAAATACAAAATTAGCAGGGCATGGTGCACATGCCTGTAATCCCAGCTACTCAGGAGGCTGAGGCAGGAAAATCGGTTGAACCCAGGAGGTGGAGGTTGCAGTGAGTTGATATTGCGCCACTGCACTCCAGCCTGAGCAACAAGAGCAAAACTCTATCTCAAAAATAAATAAATAAATAAATAAACAAATATGAAATAAAATTGCAATACACATCTCCATCTTTATAGTCCCTATCTCCCTTACTCTGTTTTTTGTTTGCTTTGGTTTTTTTGAGACAGAGTCTCACTCTGTCGCCCAGGCTGGAGTGCGGTGGCGCAGTCTCAGCTCACTGCAACCTCCACCTCCCAGGTTCAAGCAATTCTCCTGCCTCAGCCTCCTGAGTAGCTGGGATTACAGGCATATGCCACCATACCTGGCTAATTTTTTTTTTTTTTTTTTTTTTTTAGTAGAGATGCGTTTTCACCATGTTGGCCAGGCTGGTCTCGAACTCCTGACCTCAAGTGATCCGTCCACCTCGGCCTCCCAAAGTGCTAGGATTACAGACCTGAGCCACCTCACCCTTCCCTTGCTGTTTTATTATTATTTATTATTTATTTTTTATTTTTTTTAGACGGAGTCTCACTCTGTTGTCCAGGCTGGAGTGCAATGGCGTGATCTTGGCTCATGGCAACCTCCGCCTCCTGGGTTCAAGCAGTTCTCATGCCTCAGCCTCCCGACTAGCTGGGATTACAGGCGTGCACCACCACGCCCGGCTAATTTTTGTAGTTTTAGTAGACAGGGTTTCTCCATGTTGGCCAGGCTGGTCTCGAACTCCTGACTTCAGGTGATCCACCCAGCTCGGCCTCCCGAAGTGCTGGGGATTACAGGCCTGAGCCACTGTGCCTGGCCTTCCCTTACTGTGTTTTAATTTTCAACTTGAAGCAAACAAAATTGCCTTATTTCTGTGGTTCATGGTTTGTTGTCCTTTCATAGACTGTTGGCTCCCACCGGGCAGGGATCTTTGTCTCTTTCTGGTTCGCTGATGTATCCTAGCCCTCTGTGCAGGGCCTGGGATGCAGGAAGGGCTCATGTTGAATGGGGTTGGGAGAAGGATGGGAAAAAAGGAGCATGAGGGGGCATTCAGGTGAGTCCCCCTTTAGGTAAGACTGTCAGACTCAACTGCTTTGAGGAACTTACCCTGGATGGAGAGGAGCCATTCAGGAAAAAATTAGGGGAATGAGAATGTTTGTGTCACCGGTGGAAATGTAAAGTGCAAAGGCTCCAAGGCAGGAATAAAAGCCTGAGGGTTCGAACAACTGCAAGGAGGGCTGTGTGACTAGTATGAGGAGGGTATGTGACAGAAGTTAGCAAGGTAAGCTGTGGTCAGAACAGGTACAGCTCCTTGGAATAATTGTAAACACACCTTTTGTTTTTTTGTTTTTGTTTTTTTTTTGAGATGGAGTTTTGTTCTGTCACCCAGGTTGGAGTGCAGTGGCATCATCTCGGCTCACTGCAACCTTCGCCTCCCGGGTTCAAGCAATTCTCCTGCTGCAGCCTCCTGAGTAGCTGGGATTACAGGTGCATGCCACCATGCTCGGCTAATTTTGTGTTTTTAGTGGAGATGGAGTTTCACCACGTTGGCCAGACCTCAAATGATCCACCAGCCTCGGCCTCCCAAAGTGCTGGGATTACAGGCATGAGCCACTGCGCTCAGCCTTGTAAACACACATTTTAAGCACCCACAAAGTCCCTGAGTGTTTTAAGTCATCGCAATTGTCATCATTTTCTAAAGCAAGAAATTGAGGCTCCAACAGGGTCCTGCACCTGACTAAGATCTCTTAGGTGGTGAGTTGCAAAGCCAATCCCTGAACCACAGGCCGTTCTGGTAGACACTCACCTATCCCAGTGGGGTCTTCTCTTGACCGTCCCATATGTGCCAAATCTGCAGGCTGACTGTTGCTCCACTTCCTTGCCCTGGGGGACAGAGTGGGAGAGACCTGTAGTCCCCACCTAAGCAGAGTGTCCCTCACCAATATCTGGAAAACCCTGTGTCCAGTTACTCTGTACCAGTGAGTCTCAACCACCCAAGGTGACCTACGTCCAGGGGACTCTTAGCAACGTGTGGAGACATCTTTAGTTGTCACGACTAGTAGCATCTAGTTGGATGGAGCTCAGGAATGCTGCTCAACATCCTACGATGCACACGACATCTCCACCTCCTCCCCCACAACTAAAAATGTTCGGGCCTCAAAACTCAACCAAGGCTGGGCGTGGTGGCTCACACCTGTAATCCCAGCACTATGGGAGGCCGAGGCAGGTGGATCACTTGAGGTCGGGAGTTTGAGACCACCCTGGTCAACATGGTGAAACCCTGTCTCTACTAAAAATACAAAATATTAGCCTGGCGTGGTGGCTCATGCCTATAATCCCAGCACTTTGGGAGGCTGAGGCAGGTGGATCACTTGAGGTCAGGAGTTTGAGACCAGCCTGGCCAACATGGTGAAACCCTGTCTCTACTAAAAATATAAAAAATTAGCCAGGCATGGTGGTGCACCCCCGTAATCCCAGCTACTCGGGAAGCTGAGACAGGAGAATCGCTTAAACCCAGGAGGCAGAGGTTGCAGTGAGCTGAGATCGTGCCATTGCACTCCAGCCTGGGCAACAGAGTGAGACTTAGACTGAAGAAAGAAATAAAAAATAAAAAAATAAAGAAATTAGCTGGGCATGGTGGTGCACTCCTGTAATCCCAGCTACTTGGGAGGCTGAGGCAGGAGAATTGCTTGAACCTGAGAGGTGGAGGTTGCAGTGAGCTGAGATCACACCACTGCACCCCAGCCTGGGCAACAGAGTGAGACTCAGTCTTAAAAAAAAAAAAAAAAAAAAAGTCAACCATTGAGTTGGAAAACCCTGAGAGTGCTGGGTGTTCTTAAGGAGGCAGGGAGACTGTGAGTACCTGAGAGGCTCTGTCTGAGCTGGGCCATCCATCAGGGTGTCCTCGCTAAAGCTGCGTCGCAGAGGCCTCTGCCAAGTCACAGGCCTGGAGACCACAGCCCCTGTGGCCTGGGACAGTGGGCGCCTGCCTGTCACGTAACTGTGAACCAGAGCGGGCATGCTGGGGAACTGCTCATCCTCCAGTTGAAAGAGAGCTGTGGGTCGGCCTGGCCGGGGACGCAGGGCCACACGGAACACCTCGAAATGGAGGGCTGAGCCCCGCCAGCGGCAGGAGATCACGGGGTGGCCCCCACGAGACCCAGAGGCACGAACCAGGAAGTCACCATCTTGCTGAAGAAGAGCTTCAGCCTTCTGTGGATGGAGGTAAGTGGGCAGAGGAATTAAGAATGAGCCTAGAGTAGTGGTTAATGGTGTCTCCCCCCATCATCACCCCCACCACCCAAGAAAAGCTACCCCAGTGAAACTTCTGTGGCAGGCAAAGGCTGGGAAGTTTCACACCAAGTTCTGTCCCCTATTCTGCTGGCACCTATGTAGACTACATTTCCCAGGCTCCCTTGCAGCTAGGGTTGTCATGTGATAACTGGCCAATGGGATGTGGGGTAGAAGGGCTATGGGAAATATCCAGACTTGACCCATAAAACCCTCCTGCACAGTCTTGTAGGTTCTGTCCCCTATCTGTCAGCTGATATCCCCAAAGCCCTGAGGGATGACAGAGCTACATGATGCACTTGGCTCCTGACTGATTTATGGAGCTTTGCATCTCCAATTCTCAACCACCTTGGACTATGACGTTAACATATTGACTGTGTTTAGCTGGTGATATATTGGGAATGTTTGTAACTAGCCACTAGGTGACGCTGACCGATGCAACATCCAATTTGGTAAATGCACTGGGCTTGTTATGTAAATATGGCTTCAAGAGAAGCCATTAGCTGGATGCTTCCAGATTGGGGCCCCCTCTTTTATAAACATTTGCAAGCAGTCTTATGCTAGCTGTGGTGGCTGGTGTCAAAATAGGGTAGGAAGGGTGGGGCACAGTGGTTCACACCTGTAATCCCAGCACTTTGGGAGGCTGAGGCGGGCAGATCACTTGAGATCAGGAGTTTGAGACCAGCCTGGGCAACATGGCAAAACCCTGTCTTTACCAAAAAATATAAAAATTAGGTGGGCATGGTAGTGTGCACCTGTCATTCCAGCTACTCAGGAGGCTGAGGTGGGAGAATTGCTTGAACCCAGGAGGCAGAGGTTGCAGTGAACCGAGATGGAGCCATTGCATTCCAGCATGGGTGACAGAGCGAGATCATGTCTCAAAAAAAAAAAAAAAAAAAAAAAAAAAAAAAAAAAATGGTGTGGGGCAGCAGGCAGAAAGCCCAGGACCCCAGAGAGAGGCAAAGTAGAGGTGAATGTGGGATCTGGGAATAATAGATGTAGCAGACACACATGTAACCCTTACTATATGTCAAGCACTGCTTTAACTGTAAAGGGCATTAACTCCTGTAATTCCTGTAACAAGTGTGGTAGGTATTATTATACCTTTTGTCTTTTTTTTTCTTTGAGACGGAGTTTCACTCTTGGTGCCCAGGCTGGAGTGCAATGGCACGATCTCGGCTCACTGCACCTCCGCCTCCCAGGTTCAAGCGATTCTCCTGTCTCAGCCTCCCAAGTAGCTGGGATTACAGGCATGTGCCACCATGCCCGGCTAAATTTTTGTATTTTTAGTAGAGATGGGGTTTCATCATATTGGCCAGGCTGGTCTTGAACTCCTGACCTCAGGTGATCCACCCGCCTCGGACTCCCAAAGTGCTGGGATTACGAGCATGAGTTACCGTGCCTGGCCCATTTTTTTTTCCCGCCTTTTTTTTTTTTTTTTTTTTTTTTTTGAGTCAAGGTCTCTCTCGATTGCCCAGGCTGAGTGCAGTGGAGCAATCATGGCTCACCCACAGCCTTGACCTCCTGGGCTTAAGCAATTCTCCCATCTCAGCCTCCCGAGTAGTTGGGACAACAGTTACATGCCACCCATGCCTGGTTAATTTTTTTATTTTTTCCTTTTTTTTGTAGAGACAGAGTTCTGCTATGTTGCCCAGACTGGTTTGGGACTCCTAACCTCAAGTGATCCTCCTGCCTCAGCCTCCCAAAGTGCTGGGATTACAGGCATGAGCCAACATGCCTGGCCTGCTATCCCTATGTTAAAGATGGGGAGACTGAGGCCCAGAGAGGTCAAATACCCTGCCCAAGGTCACACACAATATAAGTTGTAGGGTTTGGATTTGAACCTAGGATGTCTGGGTCTAGATTGTGGGCTTTTAACTTTTTTTTTTTTTTTTTAGAGACGGAGTCTCTGTCTGTTGCACAGGCTGGAGTGCAGTGACCGGATCTCGGCTCACTGCAAGCACCGCCTCCCAGGTTCGCGCCATTCTCCTGCCTCAGCCTCCTGAGCAGCTGGGACTACAGGCGCCTGCCACCATGCCCGGCTAATTTTTTTAATTTTTAGTAGAGACGGGGTTTCACCGTGTTAGCCAGGATGGTCTCAATCTCCTGACCTCGTGATCCGCCCATCTTGGCGTCCCAAAGTGCTGGGATTACAGGCTTGAGCCACTGCGCCCGGCCAGGGCTTTTAACAATTAAGCTATACTGCCTCTCATGATTTCATTAGATGCTCAGGGTCCCAGAATTTTTGGGGGTGACAACTGACTTTCAGATGCAGGTGGGAACCTCAGATTTATTTGTTTGTTTATTTATGTTTTTGACAGAGTCTCACTCTGTCACCCAGTCTGGAGTGCAGTGGCATAATTTTGGCTTACTACAACCTCTGCCTCCTGGGTTCAAGAGATTCTCCTGCCTCAGCCTCCCAAGTAGCTGGGACTACAGGCGCACACCACCACGTCCGGCTAATTTTTGTATTTTTAGTAGAGATGTGGTTTCACCATGTTGTCCAGGCTGGCCTTAAACTCCTGACTTCAAGTGATCCACCTGCCTCAGCCTCTCAAAGTGTTAGGATTATAGGCGTGAGCCACCATGCCTGGCTCAGGAGCCTCTGATTTAGAGGGAAATACCGGGAGGTAGATGGAGTTCAGAGGGAGAGACAGCCTGAGCCAAGAGCAGTTTGGGGGGCATTAGGACTCTCCTTAAGCTCCATCACCAATCTCATCATCCCAAAGAAAGTGATAATTTAAATATAGTGACAGTCCCCAACCAGCCAACCTTTAAGACAGTCCCCAGCCCTCTGCCATCTGTCCCAATAGACCTTGGCACTAAGTCCCTCATCCAGGGACCCAGGAGTCCTCAGCAAGGGTGTGAGAGACTCCCCCCCAGATGGTGCTGAGGCCCTGCTGTGGGTGGTACCTGGCGGGACAGGAGGCCGTGGTACCAGGGTTGGCCAGCAAGGTCTTCTCCATCCTGTGGCACCTGCATGGAGCTCTTGGGGACAGAGGGTTCAAGGGCTGAGCTCTGCACTTACAAAGGCCTCAGTCTTCCACATCTGTAAAATGGGAATAATTAGCTCTGCTTGAGTGTCTGGGTCAGCTTCTTCCATCCTCTTCTTAATTTTGGAGACAGCTCCATCAAATCTTTTTTTTTTTTTTTTTTTTTTTTTTTTTGAGACAGAGTTTCATTCTGTCACCCAGGCTGGAGTGCAATGGTGTGATCTTGGCTTACTCACTGCAACCTCTGCCTCCTGGGTTCAAGCGATTCTCCTGCCTCAGCCTCCGAAGTAGCTGGGATTACAAGCGTGCACCACCACACCCAGCTAATTTATTATTATTATTATTATTTTTTGTATTTTTAGTAGAGACAGGGTTTCTCCATGTTGGCCAGGCTGGTCTTGAACTCCTGACCTCAGATGATCCACCTGCCTCAGCCTCCCCAAAGGTGCTGGGATTACAGGCATAAGCCACCGCACCCAGACTTTTTTTACACTTAAAGAGAGAGGTCTCACTGTGGTGCCCAGGCTGGAGTGCAGTGCCTATTCACAGGTGTGATCATAGCACACTTTAGTCTTGAATTCCTGGGCTCAAGGAATCCTCTAGCCTCAGCCTCCCAAGTAGTGGGGATGACAGATGTCACCATTGTGTCTGTTCCAAATATAATGCAATTTTTATGAAGAAAAAAACATGACTGATGATGACATCATGCCACCCCATCTTGCAGAAATGTAATTAATGAATTCACTGAACCCCCATTTATTGAGCACCTATGGGGTCCCAGGCTCTGCTTTAGTCCCTAGAGACATAGCATTGAACAAAACCAATGGAAATCTCTGGCCTTGGGAGCTGACCTTCTACTGGGGAGAGGCACCTCAGAAATGAACTAGATGATGGTGTACATGAGTGAGTTCTAGACAAAAAACCTAAACCATGGATGGGATATAATGAAAGTACAGGTGCTGGGGTGAACACTTTTTTTTTTTTTTGAGACAGGGTCTTGCTTTGTTGCCCAGGCTGGAGTGCAGTGGCGTGATCTCAACTCACTGTAACTTACGCCTCCTGGGTTCAAGCAATTCTTGTGCCTCAGCCTCCTGAGTAGCTGGGACTACAGGCGTGTGACCCCATGCCTGGCTAATTTTTAAAATACTTTTAATAGAGATGGGGTTTCTCCATGTTGGCCAGGCTGGTCTCGAACTCCTGACCTCAGGTGATCCACCTGCCTCAGCCTCCCAAAACACTGGGATTACCAGCATGAGCCACTGCGCCTGGCCATGCCTGGCTTATATATATATATCGGGTCTTGCCATGTTGCCCAGGCTGGGTGAACATTTTTGATTATGTGGCCAGGGAAGGTCTCATTGAGTAAAGTCTGGAAGGAATTCTGGGGAGTGTGCCAGGTGACCCTCTGGGTGAAAAAACATCCCAATCAGGGGGAATTTAACTTACAAACATCCATGGCTTCTCGGCAACCTACGTGCACACTCAGAGGTTCTCAGGATAGGTGCAAATCTAACCCCTATTTTTTGCTTTAGAATGCAACACTGGGGGAGGGATGGGGGCCAGGTGCAGTGGCTCACTCTTGTAATCCTAGCATTTTGGGAGGTAGAGGCGGGTGGATCATCCGAGGTCAAGAGTTTGAGACCAGCCTGGCCAACACAGTGAAACCCCGTCTCTACTAAAAATACAAAAATTGGCCAGGCATGGTGGCGTGTGCCTGTAGTCCCAGCTACTCAGGAGGCTGAGGCGACAGAATCGCTTGAACCTGGGAGGTGGATCCTGCAGTAAGCCAAGATCACACCACTGTACTCCAACCTGGGCGACCAAGCAAGACTCCATCTCGGGGGGGGAAAAAAATGTAACCCAGGGTTAAGATTTTTTTTTTTTTTTTTTTTTTTTTTTTTTTTTTTTTTTTTTGAGACGGAGTCTTGCTCTGTAGCCCGGGCTGGAGTGCAGTGGCCGGATCTCAGCTCACTGCAAGCTCCGCCTCCCGGGTTCACGCCATTCTCCTGCCTCAGCCTCCGGAGTAGCTGGGACTACAGGCGCCCGCCACCTCGCCCGGCTAGTTTTTTGTATTTTTAGTAGAGACGGGGTTTCACCGTGTTAGCCAGGATGGTCTCGATCTCCTGACCTCGTGATCCGCCCGTCTCGGCCTCCCTAAGTGCTGGGATTACAGGCTTGAGCCACCGCGCCCGGCCTTGAGCCACCGCGCCCGGCCTAAGATTTTTAGAAAGTCACATTTTGTAGCAATGTCAGCAAACAGCAATGTTGCCTTTGCAGGTCCTTGTATTTCAGAGCCCACATATTTGGTCATCATGATGATCGAATTTAGATCTCAGACATTTTGGTAGTTTCCTGATAATCTCACAGGCCTCAGGGCCAGTGTGTCTCAGGTGTCTGTCTGGTGGGGGAGATTTCTCTGGATGCTCCAGAAGAAGATAATCTGCTTCTTACTCTCCTGCAAGCTCTCCCCGCAGCCCTGCAAAGTCTTCTGGGTCTGGTAGGGTCTGCAGAGAAATTCCTGCCTCCTGAGTCAGCAGAAAGTTCCCAGACTAGCCCTAGGTGGCTTTAGGGGAGGAGCTCTGGGCAGGGAGCCAGCTGCCCGTGCGGCATACCTGAAGCCAGGTGTGTCTTTGGAATGCCTTTGCACTTCCTGTTCGTCACCTGGACCAGGGTTAGCCTCGGTCTCAGAGTCTCCCAACCCCAAGTTCCTGTCTTGTGTCTCCCTTAGTGAGAGTGAAGTTGAGTCAATGGCAAGGTTCTGGTTAGTTTGGGGATGCAGGGTGGCCATAGGTCAGCCAAAGGCCAACTAAGTCATTCTCCTGCCTCTGAGTCCTTTGGGATCATTTATTCGGGCACAGAAGAGAAGAAGGGGGCAGAGTCAGGCATCAGACCAAGCATGGGGAGAGGAGAGGGAATTATTCACATTCCAGTTGGATCATAAACATGTGTCCACGTGTGGGGAGGGATGTGGAGGGTGGGAACCACCAGCACAGGGGATACAAACACAGATGTATGCAGGACTCGCTTCTGACATTGGACGAACATTGCTGGAGCACTTGCTGTGCACCAGGCTCTGTTCTAGAACCTAGAGATACAGTGACTAAGGAGATTAGAGCCCGGCACCGCCCTACCCTCCAGAGCTTGCAGTCGGCTGGGCAGGACAGATCACAAACAAGCACAAGATGAATGGAGAAGACAGACCATTTCTAAGAGTTATCAATGAAAGTGATAAGCCAGGGAGATGTGATAAAGGAGGCTGGACAGGACAGCCTCTCCTATAAAGTGACACTGGAACTGAGACCTCAGTACAGAAGGAGGCAGTTGGGCAAAGATTTCGAGGAGTCGTCTGGGTGAGGGGTACAGTAAGGGCAAAGACCTGGAGGTGAGATGGGCCTGCTTTTTATATTTTACATCATCAAGGCGGCTGGTGTAGCCGGAATACTATGAGCAAGGAGCAGATAGGAGGGCAGCGATGTTAGAGAGATCAGGAGGAAAGACGGGGCAGAAACTGGTGGACTTTGAATTTTAATCTCTATGGCCCAAGCGTTTTAAGTAAAGGAGGGGCCCGATCTGATTCGCCGTTTAAAAGGATCACTCAGGCAAAAATGGAAACAATGGCTTTCTGTGCTGCACAGGAAATACACTTAGGGGATCACGCCCAGGTGAGCCCGGGCACACTGACACGTGTAATGCACAGCGACCCACTCATTCGCGAGGCGACCTCTTCTACCCCAGATCCTCCCTGCGAGCCGGTGGCCCCACCTGGAAAGAGAGGACGCCCCATCCCAATAATCTTGGTTCTGGATCTGCCCTGGGGCTCCACTCACCTAGGCAGGACCCGCGGGGCTCCCACGAGGCTGGGACCAGGCGGAAGCTGAGGCTCTGCGGCTCGGGGCTGCTGTCACCCCCGCCCTCCACGTTGCCACCGCCCCAGCCTTCCGAGACCACACCTAGTGGGAACCCAGCCCAGTTACCTGACCACGGCTCCTGCAGGCCCCGCCCCCTGCAGGTCCCGCCTCAAACTAACTTCCCAGGCTCTTGCTCCGCCCCCTTGAGACAATTTTTTTGCTACTAGCCACGCCCCCTGTGCGTGGCACCACTTTCTCCATAGACCCGGCCCACTAGGGCACCACTGCGCATCTTTTCCTGTCAATGGCCCCGCCCCTTGTACATGGCCACGCCCACCCCGAGTGACTACGCCCACTCGCAACCACCTCCTTCTTAGCCCCGCCCCTTAGGGAAATAGAACAAATTTCATCCCAGCGTTCCCGCCCCTTGGAACCTGGCCTCTCCCTTCCACCCAGGCGGCCCCAAGCACCCATGGTCCTTTGGTACCAGGGTGGGGTGGGATGGGGTATCTCTCTCCCTTCCCCGCCAAGGCTCTAGGTCAGGGCAGGGCAACTCCCTCGGGCTTTTACGCCAGGCTGGGGTAGCTGCGGCGGCTGTGACGTAAGGAGGGGTGCGCTTCCTCCAGACCGCCCTCCTGGATTTTCCGGAAAGAAGCCCCATTTGGGTGGCGGGTTTTGTGGAGAGATATCCGGGAAAACGCGACAGCTTCCTTCAGTGACAGCACGCTGGAGGGGGGCGGGACTTTGGGGGAGGTGGAAGGCAAATCATTCAGGTGGTTTCCTAGGTGGGAGGAAGGGTAGGGGGGACTTCCATCATGATGCCTGGAGATGAACAAGAGAAAAGGTGACAGGGACCTAGTGCAAGAGAGAGGACGCTTTGGCCACGTTTATTGATAAGTTCCTCATATTAACATCAGTCTTGTCTTGTAGAGATGGTGTCTTGCTATATTGCCCAGACTGGAGCGCAGTGGCCTGATCATAGCTTACCGTAGCCTCAACTTCCTGGGCTGAAGCGATTCTCCCGCTTTAGCCTTCCAAGCAACTGAGGCTAAAGGTGCACACCACCACGCTCAGCTAATTTTATTTTATTTTTTTGTAGAGATGGGGTCTTACTATGCTGCCCAGGCTCTGGAACTCCTGGGCTCATGCGATCTTCCTGCCTTGGCCTCCCAGAGCGCTGGGATTACAGACATGAGCCACTGTGCTTGAGCCAGTAACCACAGTCTGAAAAGCCATAGCAGCAGCTAATATTTATTGAGCATTTACTGTATACCAGGGCTGTTCTGTCAACTTGCTTTTTTTTTTTTTTTTCTTTTTGAGACGGAGTTTCACTCTCGTTGCCCAGACTGGAGTGCAGTGGTAGCAATCTCAGCTCACTGCAACCTCCACCTCCCGGGTTCAAGCAATTCTCCTGCTGCAGCCTCCCGAGTAGCTGGGATTACAGGCTAATTTTTGTATTTTTAGTAGAGACGGGGTTTCACCATGTTGGCCAGAGCGGTCTCAAACTCTTGACCTCATGTGATTCACTTGCCTCGGCCTCCCAAAGTGCTGGGGTTACAGGTGTGAGGCCTCCATTTTACTTTTCAAACAGACCACCCTGTAAGGGTGATAGGTAGTATTTTTATCACTTCCATTTTCCAGATGGAGACACTGAGGCACAAGGCAGCTAAACCATTTGCCCAAGTTAACCTGGCTTGTAAGTGGTAGAGGCGAGAATCAAACCCGGAGCTCCGGAGTTTCATCCTGTTTGCCTCCCTTTCAATCTTCGCATGCCTACTTTCTCCAGGATGCTGCTTTGCAGTGAAAGTTACTCACCCACCATTTTGCAGATGAGGAAATTGAGGCCTAGAGGGCCAAGGATGCTTGGGGATGAAAAGTTTTGATGCCTGTAGGGTTGCAAAGCAGGGAATTTCCAGACTGGGCTCCCCCCACTGGCCCTGGCCAATGTGGAAGAGACTCCAAGCTCAAGAGCGGAAGAACGTTTCCTCCTTATCCCCCATCGGTCTAGTATTGGTACAGTCAGAGGCTATGGGCCTGTCCAGGCAAGGGGTCTAGCGCCTCCTCGTGGTTATAATAATTTAAAAAGAGGGCCCAGTACTTTGGGAGGCCTAGGTGGGCAGATCACCTGAGGTCAGGAGTTTGAGACCAGCCTGACCAACATGGTAAAATCCTGTCTCTACTAAAAATACAAAATTAGCTGGGTGTGGTGGCGTGCGCCTGTAATCTCAGCTACTGGGGAGACTCAGGAGAATCACTTGAACCCGGGAGGCAGAGGTTGCCATGAGCTGAGATGTACCACTGCACTCCAGCCTGGTCAATAGAGCAAGACAAAAAAAAAAAAAAAAAAAAAAAAAAAAAGACACTATTGCAGTCTATAAGGAGAGGGATGTTGGTAGCTTGGATTTGGGTGGTGGCCATGGACATGATGATAAAGGGATGGGTTTGGGATAAATGTCAGGTGCAGTCAATAGAGCTTTCAGTTATTCATTCAACACGTATTTACGAGGCAGGCATATGTGCCGGGTGCTGCATAAGAGAGGGGTCAGTAGTGAACCAAAGAGACACAAATTCCTGAATAGACAATAAAGAAACAAGGATGACCGGGCGTCATGGCCCACATCTGTAATCCCAGTGCTTTGGGAAGCTGAGATGGGAGGATTGCTTGAGGCCAGGAGTTCAAGACCAGCTTGGGCAACATAGTAAGAGCCCCTCTCTGCAAAAAAAGTTTAAAATTAGCCAGGCACAGTGGCACGAGCCTGTAGTTCCAGCTACTTGGGGGTCTGAGGCGGGAGGATCACTTGAGCCCAAGAGCTTGAGGCTGCAGTAAGCTATGATCATGCCACTGAACTCCAGCCTGGGTGACAGAAGAAAGAGGCTGGGCACAGTGACTCAAGCCCATAATCACAGCACTTTGGAAGGCCAAGGCGGGCAGATTACTTGAGGTCAGGAGTTTGAGACCAGCCTGGCCAACATGCTGAAACCCTGTCTGTGAAAATACAAAAATTACCTGGGCATGGTGGTAGGTGCCAGTAATCCCAGCTGCCTGGGAGGCTGAGGTGGGGGAGAACCTGGGAGGCGGAGCTTACGGTGAGCTGAGATCATGCCACTGCACTCCATCTTGGGTGACAGAATGAGACCCTGTCAAAAAAGAGAAAGAAAGAAAGAAAGAAAGAGAGAGAGAGAGAGAGAGAGAGAAAGGAAGGAAGGAAGGAAGGAAGGAAGGAGAGAGAGAGAGAAAGAGAGGGAGAGAGAAACAGAGAAAGAAAGAAAAAGACAGAAAGAAAGAAAAAGAAAGAAAGAAAAAGAAAGAAAGAAAGAGAAAGAAAGAAAGAGAAAGACAGACAGGGCACAGTGGCTCACGCCTGTAATCCCAGCACTTTGGGAGGCTGAGGCAGGTGGATCACCTGAGGTCAGGAGTTCGAGACCAGCCTGACCAACATGGAGAAACCCCGTCTCTACTAAAAATACAGAATTAGCTGGGTGTGGTGACGCACGCCTGTAATCCCAGCTACTTGGGAAGCTGAGACAGGAGAATCGCTTGAGCCCAGGAGACGGAGGTTGTGGTGAGCTGAGATCGTGCCACTGCACTCCAGCCTGGGCAATGAGAGTGAAACTCAGTCTCAAAAGGAAAAAAAGAAAAAGAAAAGAAAAGAAAAGAAAGAAAGAAAGAAAAGAAAGAAAGAAAGAAAGAAAGAAAGAAAGAAAGAAAGAAAGAAAGAAAGAGAAAGAAAGAAAGAAAAGAAAGGAAGAGAGAAAGGAAGAGAGAGAGAGAGAAAGGAAGGAAGGAAGGGAGAGAAAGGAAGGAAGGAAAAAAAGAAGAAATAACTATAAAAAAATCAGATTTGTTGGATGAAGATCAGGCTTAACCTAGGGAAGTGGGTAGGGCTGATGGAATGTGGAAAAGGCTGTGATTTGAAATCAAGGGGTTTAGGAAGACCTCATGAGAAGGTAGCATTTGAGCAAAGACCTGTAGGGGTGAGGGAGCTAGCCGTGAAGTTGCTTAAGGTGGAGGACACAGCCCATGCAAAGGCCCTGGGGCAGGGCCATATGTTCCTGGCACGTTGGAGGAAGAGTGAAGAGGCCCATGTGGCTGAAGCACAGTGAAGAGGGGGAAAGAGGGAGTGGGGAGGGCGGGGACGGAACTGGGCAATTCAAGCAGGGTTTTGTGGGCCTTGGGGAGGACTTGGGCTTGTCCCTGGAGGAAAGTGGGAGCCATAGAGGGTTGTGGGCAGAAGAGGGGTGTACCCTGACTCAGATGCTCACAGGCAACCTCTTGTGGTGGCTGCAGGGAGGACAGACTGTGGGGGACAGGGGCTGGAGTCAGGAGACCAGCTGAGTGATGATGAGGCTGGACCAGACCGAGGAGGGGGTGAGAAGTGGGTGAATTCTGGGTGTATTTCAGAGTGTCACTGCCGCTGTCTGCATATGGAGGAAGCGCGTCCGTCTCATAGTCTAGCTGGCCTGGCTCCCCCAGCCCCCCAACTCCCCGTGCCCAGGCCTGTGTCGAGTGGGCGGAAGAAAGAGATGTCAGATTCTGCATGGAAGGGGTGGGGTGGGGCTGGGCCGCAGGTGCTCCCCCAGCTCCCCCCGCCCCATGGCTCCTCCTCCTCCACCCCCTCTCAGGGCAACAGTTACAGGCAAAGAAGAGGAAGTGGTAGCACTAGCTGTCGCTCCACAGGCCAGCAGGGCGGGCGTGCGGGCGGGTGGGTGGTGGAGGCCGCGAGGGTGCACGACCGGCTCTGAGCAGGCAGCAGCCATGGAGCTGTGGCGCCAGTGCACCCACTGGCTCATCCAGTGCCGAGTGCTGCCGCCCAGCCACCGCGTGACCTGGGATGGGGCTCAGGTGTGTGAACTGGCCCAGGCCCTCCGGGATGGTGTCCTTCTGTGTCAGCTGCTTAACAACCTGCTACCCCATGCCATCAACCTGCGTGAGGTCAACCTGCGCCCCCAGATGTCCCAGGTGAGCCCTCCGCGGGCAGGTGTGCTGAGGGTTGGAGAAGGGGGTCCTCCCCGGGGCTGACAGTGGAGGGGTTGACGTGCTCCACCTCTGGGCCTGCAAAGGAGGGGGGATATGCTTACAGGTCCAAGGCTGGGCCAGGGGGTGGTCACAATCTGAGATTCTGGGGTGGCCTCCCCAAGCTTAACAGGACCCTTGTGTGGGTTCACGGGCCCTGGGTTGGCCCGCATCTAGGCTGAGAACTGGCAAACTAGGGGTTAACTCTCTCAAGCCCCAGGCTGCCTCTACTGCGGTTCATGCTCCCAAATAGGACCAACCAGAGGTCCCCAGGGAGCGCCTCAGAACCCCCAGGGTGGCCATTGGGTTACCTGGGGCTTTGGACTCCTTTGACCCCCAGAGTCTGGATGTGGGGGAGGAGCCTCCGCCAACATCTTCCCCGACATGTGTCTCCTCCTCCCGGGCCCTGGGCCCCTTCCTTCCCCTTACATCTTCCTTCCCCTTGGCTTCCTGCCTGGGACTGGGGCAGCGTGGGGCAGGTGGGGGGCTGTGGCCCCAAGGATCTGAGCTTCCTCGCTGTATCCATCTCAGGGGAGACAGTGAGGCAGGGTCCAGTCCTGGGCTTAGAGAGTGGGTCCTGAGGTTTTGGTGCCTGGAATGGCTGCATTTTCTCGGCAGGGATTTCTGCAGGGGCCCAGGCTGGAGGGGTAGTGGCAGATTTGACTGTGACTGCATGAGCCTGGCTCAGGAAATATATTCAAATCCCTATTTGAATGTGGTTGGGTGGGCGTGCGATGTGGCTGCGTGATGTTTCTGTAGCATCTCGTCTGGTTCCCCAGGGCTGCTGGGGGGGAACAGGGAACGGGGCAGGGCTGGTGGAGTCCCATCTGCTCTGGGATGAAAGGAGATACAGCCCTTTCCTGGGGCCTGGGGGACACAGTCTTGCCCTGAGGTCTGAGGGGAGAGCTCCCATCTGGTCCTCAGGCTGGGAGCTGGAAGGATAAGTTAATGGAGATGGGCCCATGGGGGTTCCTGGGGGGTGGTTTTCAGGGGTAGGGCCATTGGAGGAAGAGATCCATGGGCCTTTACTCCTTCTGTGGTTATTTTTAAATTAATTAATTAAAGACAGGGTCTCACTCTGTCACCCAGGCTGGAGTGCAGTGGCACGATCTCAGCTCACTGCAACCTTAACCTCTCAGGATCAAGCAATTCTCCTGCCTCAGCCTCCCGAGTAGCTGGGATTACAGGTGCACGCCACCACACCTGGCTAATTTTTGTATTTTTAGTAGAGACGGGGTTTCACCATGTTGACCAGGCTAGTCTTGAACTCCTGACCTCAAATGATCCACCTGCCTCGGCCTTCCAAAGTGCTGGGATTACAGGTGTGAGCCACCATGCCTGGCCGCTCCTTCTGTTTTTTGTTGTTGTTGTTGTTGTTGTTTTATTTTTTGAGACGGAGTCTTGCTCTATCACCCAGGCTGGAATGCGGTGGTGCAATCTCAGCTCACTGCAACCTCCACCTCCTGGGTTCAAGTGATTCTCCTGCCTCAGCCTCTTGAGTAACTGGGATTACGGGGGTGTGCCAACATGCCCAGCAGATTTTTGTATTTTTTTTTTTTTTAAGTAGAGATGGGGTTTCACCATGTTGGCCAGGCTGGTCTTGAACTCCTGACCTCAGGTGATCCACCCACCTCAGCCTCCCAAAGTGCTGGGATTACAGGCGTAAGCCACCACACCCAGCCGATATAATATAGACTCTCTATGTTACTCATGAAGGATCCAAGGAGGAATACAAGTGTAATTAGGAAAATATACAGACTCTTAATTTATTCTTATATTTTGAGACAGAATCTTGCTGCGTTGCCCTGGCTGGAGTGCAGTGATGAGATCTGGGCTCACTGCAACCTCCGCCTCCTGAGTTCAAGCAGTTCTCCTGCCCCAGCCTCCTGAGTAGCTGGGACTACAGTCACCCACCACCATGCTTGCCTATTTATTTATTTATTTATTTATTTATTTATTTATTTGTATTTTTAGTAGAGATGGGATTTTGCCATGTTGACCAAGCTGGCCTCGAACTCCTGACCTCAGGTGATCTGTCCACCTCGGCCTCTCGAAATGCTGGGATTACAGGCACGAGCCACTGCGCCCGGCCCTTCTGTTTCTTTAGTGCCAGGGGATTACACCATCCTCAGCTGTGACAGGGCTTCCCGAAAGGAGAAGGCACTCCCCCCACCAACCTAAGCATCCATTCTCTCTGGCCACAGCCCATCCCTGCTTTGCCTACATTTGCTCAATCTCCTTCTGGTTTCTAGGGCATGAGGAAGTAGTCATGGGATCTGTTAGGACCCATCTGTTAGACCTGGCAGGGAGTCAAGGTCTCCGTGATGCTTCAATAGCAGCTAATGGGAAAGTGGATAGACTTAAGGATGAACTTCCACTCCTGTGTGTGTCTTAGCTAAAGCCAGTTTTTGGATGAAGGGCAAGGGTGCATGATGCTAATCCCTGGGAGAGCAGTTGCACTCCAAAGACAGTTCTAATCCTCTGTAACAGGGAAGAGCGGGAACCCAGGTGGGTTCAGGCTTTATGCAAGAGGGGACATTTGCGCTGGGATTTTGAAGAGTAAATAGGAGTTTTTCTCATTGTTCTGGCTTCCTGTGCCCAGCTGTATCAGGCTCCAGGCTGGGCAGGGGTGTACCTGGACCCTTTCCCTCTGGGAGGGGGCACATTCCTGTCCCTACTCATTTTGTCGCCCTTTGAAGCTCGGCCCTGTGTCTGGTATATAGTGGGGATGTATGTGGGAAGGTAAAAGGTATTGACAAGAAGCCCAGAGGAAGCTGCCACAGGAACAACCTCTCTGGGTTTCTGGGTGCCTAACTGTCCACAGATTGAAGCTGGAGCTGTGAATGCCCCATGGGATGTGAAAGGGTGGAGGGAAAAAGGAAAGGTACTTCTGTGGAGGAAATGGCATAAATAAAGGTGTGCAGGCTGGAATGAGAATTCTTCCCAGTTTCTGTCATTTCTCTTCAGAGTCCCTCTCTTTTTTCTCAGTTGTTTCTTGGGAAGAGGGTGGAAAGAACATATCCATCCATCCATCCACCCACCCACCCACTCATTCATCCACTCATCTATCCCTCCAATTATCCATCCATCTACTCATCCATCCATCCATTTATCCATCCATCCATCCATCCATCCATCCATCCATCTATCCATCCATCCATTCATTCACTAATTCATCCATCTGCTCATCCATTCATCCATCCACCCATCTATTCATCCATCCATCCATCCCTCCATCCATCCATCCATCCATCCACCCACCCACCCACCCACCCATCCATCCATTCATCCACCCACCCATTCATCCATCCACTCATCTATCCATCCATCCATCCATCCATCCCTCCCTCCATCCATCCATCCATCCATCCATCCATCCATCCAGTCATCCATCCATCCATCCATCCACTCATCCATTCATCCATCGACTCATCCATCCATCCATCCAACCACCCACCCATTCACCCACTCATCCGTCCATCCACTCATCCATCCACCCATCATCCATCTACTCATTTATCCATCTATCAATCTATCCATCCATCCATCTATTTTTCCCTCCATCTATCCATCCATCCACCCATCCACCCACCCATCTATCCATGGATCCATCCATCCACTAATCTATCTTTTATTTTTTATTTTTACGGAGTCTCGCTCTGTTGCCACTAATCTATCTTTATTTTTTTATTTTTACGGAGTCTCGCCTGCTGCTCTGTGAATCGGAGTGCAGTGGCGTGATCTCGGCTTACTACAACCTCTGCCTCCCAGGTTCAAGCAATTTTCCTGCCTCAGCCTCCTGAGTAGCTGGGACTACAGGCACCTGCCACCATGCCCAGCTAATTTTGTATTTTTAGTAGAGATGAGGTTTCACTATACTGGCCACAGGCCGGTCTTGAACTCCTGACCTTGTGATCCGCTCTCCGCCTCAGCTTCCAAAGTGCTGGGATTACAGGGTGGAGCCACGCACCCGGCCCATTCATTCATCTATCTGTCATCCACCTGCCCACCCACCCATCCTTCCATGTACTCATCCATCCATCCACTCATCCATCTATCCATTCATCCATCCACCCATCCACCCACCCATCCATCCATTCATCCATCCACCCATCTATCCATCCATCCACCCACCCACCCACCCCATCCATCCATCCACTCATCCATCTATCCATCCATCCACCCACCCACCCACCCCATCCATCCATCCACTCATCCATCTATCCATCCATCCACCCACCCACCTACCCATCCATCCATCCATCCATCCACCATCCACCCATCTACCATCTATATCCATCCATCTACCCATCCATCCATTCATTCATCTAACCATTTATCTGTTCATCCATCCATCCATCCATCCACTCATCCATCTATCCATCCATCCACCCACCCACCCACCCCATCCATCCATCCACTCATCCATCTATCCATCCATCTCCACCCACCCACCTCCACTTATCCATCCATCCATCCATCCACCCACCCACCACCCCATCCATCCATCCACTATCCACTCCATCTACTCATCTATCCATCCATCTACCCATCCATCCATTCATTCATCCAACCATTTATCTGTTCATCCATCCATCCATCCATCCATCCATCCATCCATCCATCCAACAGTGACAAAGTCTGCCAGGCCCTGTTCTTGGTGCTGGGGACAGTGTGAATAGCACACACACCCACACACCCACACATGCACACACCCCTGTTGTTGAGGAGCCTGCATTCTAGTGGGGGAGGCTGACAGTGAGGAAATAAGACAATGTATAAGACGTCAGGAGGTGCAGGAGGTGGTATGTACTGCTCTGGAGAAAACAAAGTGGAACAGGGTATGCAGGGGGCACTTTGATGAATGAGGAGGGCTAGTGGTAAGGTGACATTGGAGCAGAAACCTGGGGAAAATTAAGGAATGAACCATGTGGATCTGGGGAAAT